AACTCAATGCGTATTGCGTAGTGATTCTATTATTTACTTTAAGATTATTTGTCATTAATTTCATTGTATTATATGAAATTAAGTGTTTGTCTCTGTATTCGTGGTTCAGCACTTCTTTTGTAATTCGAAACGTTTTGGGTCACATACCCGATCATACTTGAATAAATAAATAAAGAAATATGTACATAAATAGATATTTTAAAAAATACATTAATTGATTAGTATACCCATTTCTCTGCACTAATTATAAATTTTGTGCATTATTTTTAAATGATGTACTTACCGACAAATTTTCCTACTGTAATGCTCACAAAAAGATTTGATGATCTTGTGGTTACTTTCTAGCGCTTTCTCTGACAGCATTTCTATAGGCAAGAATAGGCTTTGTATAATTTGATACCCGTGTATTAATACAACGTGCATCGTCGTAGGCATGTAATACCAATCATATAAGTTAGTGAATCGTTATGCGGCATTTAAACAATATTTGTTGAACTTCTGTGTATCTATTATTTTATTTGATGATATTACAGCCTGTATTACTTTCAACATATTCAAAAGATCATTGTCACACTTGCAAGTCATTTTAATGTTTTTTTAAACATGAATTACAATTTAGGTATCACTTATAGTCGATTAGGAGAGTACCAGTTACTTCAGCAACTACATCAATGTTATTGAAAAATGCGCGTGCAGTATTTCCGCTGTTAGTGTTTCCAGATTCTTGTGTTGGAGCATCCACCAAGATTCCTAGTTTTGTGTAAAGAGCATCTTGAATTTTTTTTTTCTCATTAATAATATGTTTTTCGTCTTTCGGAACCTTTACATAAACTTAATCTACTAATTAGTCTCTAGATACCATATTTTTCAAACAATTGTACTTACTACATAATACAATTTACGAATATTTATGAGTTTAGAGAACAATTTTTTATACTCAATAAAATGATTTTTAGTTTAATTCATACGAGTAAGTATTTTGCTCTTTCAAAGATCGATCAAATATTTCTTCCATTATTACTTAAATTATTATACTAACATTCCTTTGTTTAAGTTCCATGCGATAACTGATATGCAAAACAACCTCCATGAAACGAATATGAGCAAGTAAAACTGAAAAACCATACTGCAATGATAACGGATAGACATGAACATCAGCTAGCAGATCTACATCATTAAATGTTGAGATAGTACTTTTGCAGACGAAACACCGCTGACCAGGCATCGTTAAGAGCATTGCAAATCTAAACAACAATGGAGGAAAATCGAAAAAAAGATTTTGGACTGGCTGCTCTCTCTAATTAAAAATTCCATGATATATGGCATACGTGAGGATAAAATAGATTTCGTTTCATGTGCATATGACAAAATTTTTATAAATATTTAATTTCATCAAATTTACACATGCAACGTTTTTAAAATACATTTTTTAATCATGACGTTACGCATGTACAATAAATGATAACTTGATATTATTAGACCTACTCCAGACTAACTGTTTGCAAATAAAGTAAATTTGTACGTCATTTGACGTCAATCATTGTGCAGACTATATCTATCCCAACAGTACATCCATTGAATGAAATTTTTTCAAAATGATTAATTTCGTATTTTATTAAGCGTTCCACTTCCTTACACAGATCATCAGATTCTTTTTGGTATAAAGTAATAATAGGGCGGCAAAATCTAACTAATGATAGAGTTGGGTTATCCCAGTATATTTTTCCGCTCACTGTATCTATTAATTGCAATGGAACGATTAAAATGCAAAACATTTTACTATCGTCGATGATTTTATTATCGGATTTTTGTTTATAGGAAGCAGCATTAGTTCCATCCATTCCATACTTGAGTCTCAGTGTCAACTGTGTATTAGTTTTAAGGCGGTTCGGTAGTGATAATTTTTTGTGATGAAAATTTTTGAAATTTCGATATGTTGTTTGGGATAATAGTATCAAATTACAGCTAAATTTTTGAAGGGTTTAACCACACCGTTTTCAAGATATATTGACTTGAAAAAACAATATTTTAACATGTAGGCTTATGGAGAAATCACTTAAATTTCACATTAAAAAAAAACGGCTAAATGAACTTGATTTTTTTTTTTAAAAGGAAATAATATTGTCAAAATAATATTTTGTCAAAGTTTGAGAGAGCCCTACCACAAATTTCTATTAAAAAACAGCAAAAAATGTGCTCGCAGCAGACGACTTGGCAACGCTGATTTTGGAGCGCGCTTTGAAATGTAATGAATAGTAAAAACTCCTTTTGTAATTGCAAATTTAATTATAAAAAATTCAACCGAATAAATAAGTACACTGTCATCAGTAGACGACGACAACAGACGACGTGCCAGCAGCCGAAAAAATTCACAACGTTGCCAGACGCTCTCCCTCCCCTTGCCTCTCTGAGATTTCCTCCGCTAACACTACCGAACCTCCTTAAACTGCAGATTCAAAAATTCAAGCAATCTTTTGATTGTGTGACCTAATAAATCCTGTAACGATATCTTACATTCTGATTCTTTAATAACTGAATTCTTAGGGTAGACTTTTCTTTTTTGCTTTCGTGACCTATTTTACAAATTCACTTTTTATTTTGTTTCGGATGAAAAAAATTGTTTTTTTCTATGCAGATTAAATGCATTTATGACATGAATTAAAATTTGTTATTGAAATCTCCGCCACAGGTATTTCGCTAAGTAAATAAATTTAAAAAAAAGTAGTGTAGGTTTTCTCATACTCGATCGATTAAAACTGTTTTCAAATGAAACATTTAATAATATTATATTAGTCTTATGCAGCAATGCATTTTTATATTTGACTTATTTGTCATAGATTATATATACACACACGAAACCATGTAAATCTTGAATTATAAAATGAAAATCACATAAAATGTAATTGTGCACACATCTATGAATTTATTTGATTAACTTATGCTTTATAAGTAAATTTGGTATTCTTTATCGTCTGTTAATTTTAAGAATAAATGTGTTTATACTCATGAGCCTGTGCACAATAATGGCGATAATCCGCGTAGTGACTTTTTTATAGTATTTTTTTTTATTACTTTGAGTCTTAATGTTTCCCAAATATTAAATTATTTCTTTTGTAAAAACTAGCAAAATTTTTTTTTCACAAGTGTTTTTGTGTATTGACAATAATTCTTTAGCATAGTATTATGCCAATATTCTTATTTAAAAAATTTGTAATATCGTTATATAAAAAATTTGGATGGGTAAACCTTTTGTTACACTTTTTATTCAAATAACTATGTTCTAGCTTGCAATGTCTTAGTCATTAGACCACATTTTGTCTTTTTTAAATAGCATATGACAAAGGATTTTACGGACTAGTGTAGTGAATCACTAGATGATTCTAAAATATAACTTCGAATTAACAATAATTATGAAAAAACTAATTCAATTGCAAGGATAAACATGAAATTGAACAGTTAAATGCTTTTGTTCAAGGAACTGTTCCCAGTGTCCTAGAAAAGAAATGTAACATTGAGAATTGCGCTAAATAATAAATTTTTTTTTAATAACAGAGCAGTTGTCTTTTTTTCTACTGCTTTATCATTGACTATCAAAATGATAGACGGTCGTTGTTAAAGCTGTTGTGACACTAAGCTGTTATTGAAATCAACTTAACCGAAAAGAAAAATCTAAGCTTTGCTGCACAATTGGAGCACTTTGCAGTTGTTTCGGACTCCCTCCTTCTCTGCCTATATATTTATAATTGATCTCTAGAACCTCTGTTTTGTAATTTGCATCAAAAAAGACATAATTAATAAAGTTGGATACTTGAGTCAGTTTTTTTTTCTTCAGCTATTTTCTCGGTGTTCTTTTAACAAATCCAACAGCTAAACTAAACGTCTTTTTTTTTTTTCTTTTTTTTTTCATTCTTTATTTTCTTAGCCCTCCTATAATCTTGAAGGCCGTTGTAATTTATATCGTAAAATTCTGTAAATTGTGCAAATTATAATTCAAGTTTTATAAGTATTAACAAGTACATTTTCCAACAAAATATAATACAACATGTGAAGAAAGACAAAAGGGATGCAAAAAAAATCTCTCTTTTGGGTTTGAGATAATATGCTCTAATTATAAGAACTCATGTTAGGCTCATTATATCTGGCCATTGTACCCGCTTCCGTAGTAGGCTTAAAAATCAAGTCCGAACACCCGGAACACGTGTTAAAAATTCTGACGCGTGATTTCACTAGTTTATTCCGTGCTAGAAAAAATGAAAGTTAATGTTTAAAACTACAGGTCAAGTGTTGAAGGTAATCATATAAGTTGCGTAACAATTAGTATTAATGCTGACGGCTAAGTAACAAGCTTAACACGTAGCGCTACAACACTGTCACTCTCTTTGCCTATTGCTATTAAGCGAAAACTTAGTCTTAAAAATAATTAATTGATCATCAGTTTTGCCACTTATGGTACAACACCGTAAACAATATATTGAAATTTTAGTTTCATAGTGTTTGAAAATCGAAATTGCAAAAAAACATAAGCTCTTATAGAGTTATAAAGAGGTCGTTGCAAATTTATGGCCAAAGACAATTTCAGTCTGAATTCTGTTACTTTGTTACACAATTATTTTGGAACAAATATGTTAAACCTGCTATTATTGTCGTCTGGAAGCACATTTTCGCAAATTTATTAAATCGAAGTAATTATGTGATGTTATTATAGTACGCAGTTAAAAATATAAGTCAAAACGTTAAAATGAAATATAACAGTAGCCATTAATTTTTCTATTAAAAATTACTTTGTTCTTTAATTTTTATGCGTGAACTTCACACTAAAGACTTCTTAATTTATTTAATCAAAATTACCCGTATTAAATGTATTTTTGCCTTAACTTTTTTTTAACCTTACGTTCCCCAATAACCATTTTCATGGGTGCTGTCATAGTTTTTATATTAAGTTGAATTAATATTATTTATTGTATACATATGTATGAATATAAATAAATATACTTTTCTAGAGCGTCTTATAAATGGAATTTTACAAGCCAAACAAATACTATCAATCAAATTATCTGCAAGTAGTCCTGAAGTACAAGATGAACATACGCGACAAATGGATAAAGTTTATACAAATGCAACAAGTAAGTCAATACATCACAATATTTTGTTGTTACACTACAGTTTACGTACTTACTTAAATTTTGACTTAGTCATAAGATTGATTAATGATTTCTTCTACTTTATAATTCTGTGTTTTGAAAATAAGTACAGTCAATATTTTATGAGTTTAGCATTGTAAATATAAGATGTGTATACATACGTATTCTTATACATATTCCATAAAGAGTACAAAACTAAAAGGTTTTCCTACGTTTATGTATCACTCTAAGCTTATATTTTTAAAATAAGTGTCTGAAGACTGTATCAATGCATTATTGGGTATATAAAGTATATAAATGTATTTTCAGTAAGTGCATACTAGTAATCACTAGCTATGTTACTTTTATCAAACTTTAATTTTTTAAATTAAGTTCTTTAGTTACTTCTATGTAACCGTATATTTTGATGAATTTTTAAACTTTTGAAACAGTATTTAATAGGGTTCTTAATAGAATAGCGTACTTATTACCAATTTATGACTGATTTACTTTTTTTAATTTAGTTGTTACTTTATTAAATTTTGCCTCGTTTGGAAAAAAGCTTTGTATAAGTCAAAAATAAAGTATCCTTTAAAATGTATAGAAAATTTCGTTATTGTTTGGATCATGATGTAAAAGTTTATAGGTGTGCTGAATTGACGCACATTTTTGCTATTGAACTTAATGAATCAGATTTAACTCCAAAGAAGCGTTATGTCGATGAATGGATCCCACTACTAAATGTAAAATTTAAGTCACAACGCATGTGTGTTTCATAACTTTAAATTGTTAATCATGCCTGTGTATAACGCAAAAGAATATTGGTAGTATCAGAAAGTTCAATTATTTTTTTTTGTTCCTACATTATGAAGCAACAGCTTCAAATTTAATGGAGGCTTGTAGAAAAGATGTTAACTTGAAAAACGGTTTGCTTACTGATATACAATGTATACTTATGAAAGGAAAATTTTATCATACAGAAAAAATAATTTTAAACATACAATAATAGCTAAAATGTGCTTTTTACACTTTGAGAAAAGCTGCATTCAAGACAAATCAGCAAATACTTACATGACTATTAAAATTCCTCACTAAAAAGAGTTGGAAAATTAGTGAAAAAGTAATTCTGACAAAATCTTAACAGAAACAAAAGAATTTAAAACAAAGAGATTATTAATCGAAAAGCAAGACGTATGTCGGAGCAAAATACTTTAGAAATAGTAAGGTATCACAATTTTTAAAATAATTATCTACGTTAAGGTAGCTCCCTTGCGAAAACCTACGGAATGAAATATGTTTCATTCAATAGATTTTGATCTACTGAATCCAACGGTGTCCTTGTTTTTACCCCAAGTGGAGAAAAATCTCGAGATATTTCAGCTCAAAGTTGAACTGTTTAACACGAGCTCAAATGGCAGAGCATCAAAATATCAGCTTTACAGGCATTTCCCAACTCACAATAAAAAATCTAAGTAGAAAAATTATGATGTACTTGTAGAAAAATCTCTGTTATTCTCAATACTGTCATGTAAAATGCTGGTAATGGGGCATTTTCCAAAGATATTTGCCAAGAAAGACGTAGGAATCAGCTTCATGGTTATAAATGACAGACAGTAACAGAATACCAACACTGATGTACGTATATACGTATACATACGCAAGTAAAACTATCCTACTTGACTAGAGCAGTAGACAAGGGAGCTACCTTAATGTAAAGGATTATGTATAATGTCATTGATGAAGTATTGTTATTCAATGAATATGTATTTAAAATTATCAAGTATTTCAAATCTACATTAATAAAAAAATTTTTTTAACATAATAACATGGAATGAAATAATAAATTGATACCTTTAATTATTTTCTTCATTTAACTTTAATTATGAATTTAATGTCAAAAAGTTAAAAAAAAATTATTCTTAAGCAATCTTACAAATACGAGATAGGGGTAAATAATCTAATTACGGGACACTGAAATTCACGTCTGTGCTAAATTGTTTGTTTATCAATGTTTTTTTACGTAAATCATTACTGCGTGGGTATCTCACATAAGGTTTTCTGATTAAAGCCCAGATCTTATTACTCCGAACACCAACGAAGTTTTATAGGTTCGATTTGTTGAAAGTGATTTGGTTAAACAGTCACGTATTTCATGTAAAGCATAATTCTGTAATTTACTTTATTAGAACAAGAATTTTCCAGTCTCTTTTTCTTAATTTGTATGACTAATAAGTGCACAGTTATTGGTACCTGCACAGTAACAAGGTCATTTACCCAGTATTAGCATATATTGTCATATTTAGCATATTTATTAATTCGGATTAGTTTTTAAATTGTATTAATTTTTTATTTACTTGTTAGTGTTTTTTTCTTTTTTTTTCTGTTAATTTGTAATAAGTTTCACTCTACAAATATTTACTTCTAAATACTGTATGCGCTTAAATATCACGCCGAAAAACATCCAAGATGACTTTCCCTTAGCCTAAAAGTCTAATTGGTTGCTAGCTGGTCAGTACAAACTTTTAATTTTACATTACATTTTATATTACTTAAACAACATTTTTTGAAAAATGTACAATACTTTTTATTAATAACAATGTTTGTAATATGGGAAGTTTAAATGTGGATTAGAGCAGGGCAGAACTGTGAAAAAATTTTTAAAAACGTCACTACCGGTTCTGTGTGGTTTACAGCAAAATGACGTATTTGACAAAAAAATTGTTTAAAAGTTGAAAATGCACGATAAAAAATCAATTGAATGAGTTTCTATAAGCTTTGACCAATACTGTAATTTTCAAGTAAATTTCAAAAAAATTTGTCCTTCTGCCATTCTTTTTTAATCTGTAACTTATGTATAAGATAATATGCATTCTAAATTTCAGCACGATCAACACAAAACTATTCGAAAACCTCTAAAAAAATTGAAAAGGGCCCTTTCAAAAAATGTCCATGGAAATGTTTTAGGTCCTTGTCTTTTTTTTAAGCACTTTTGTTCATCAAAAGTTCCACATATTTTAAACTTTTGAAAC